CGGGTAAGAGGAGAGATACACAGGACAGCCGGTGGGGGAGGCACTGAGCCAGTGCCCACCCATTTCGTTGCCATCCCTGGGCCTCACTAAGCCCCTCCAACAAGGTCTCTCTCTGTAGCCCTGGCTATCCTGGAGCTTTCTCTGTAGACCAGGTTGGCCTCGAATTCAGAGATCCTCCTGCCTCTGCCTCACCAGTGCTGGGATTACATACAGGCGTGCCCCACGGCCACCCTGCTGACGTGGTTTCTTAACAATGCCGTCTATCTCAGGCATTTCTATGACTTCGACTTTTGGAGTCAGTACTATGTGGCTAGTACCCAGCATCCTCTCTGGCCAGTACTTTCCAACTGGAAAAAAATATTCTTTTTATTTTATTTTGTGTTTTGAGACAGGGTCTGATGTAGCCCAGGCTGCCCTCAAATTCACTATGTAGCCTAGTATACCTTGAACTTCTGACTTTCCTGGCCTCCCTGTGCTGGGAAGGAGCTCAAATTTGTTTTGAGATGGGGTCTCCTTATGTAGCCTGGGCTGGCCTGGAAGTCATAGCCACCCCCCTCCCTAACCCTCCCCCATATAAGTTGATAGCTGTGCACTGCCACATCCTGGGTCCCCATGGAAAAGTCAAGTGCCCAGCTGGTCCTTGGTGTTCTGTTACTGACAAATCACCTCTGCCTCAGTTTCCCCAAGTGAAGAATGGGTCCAGGTAACTCCTGAGCACTTGTCAGTGGCAGGATGGAATGGGTGTGTCTGCCCAGGAGGGTTCGGACTTCCCCCACAGAGCTGAGTCATTTGGTGCCCAAGGCCTCACTGCAGTGGGGAAAAGGGCTTAGATGAAGGACCAGACAGTGCAAAGGCCCTGGGGCCCAGCTCTGTAAAGACACCCAGGAGGCCCATATGGCCAGGCATGGTCTCTTCAGGAGAGGAGACTCCAGTGACAGGGGACAGCAGGGCCTGGCTGCCAGGGAGGAAGAGGGGACACGTGCAGCCCAGTCCTGAAACTCGCAGAGTTCTGAGCCCCTCATCCCTGGGCAGCTGGAAGAAGGAAGTCCCCCGATGGTGTTGGGAGTTTTATGCAGGCTAGGGAGGAAACTCACAACCATTGTATCTGTGTGGCTTTATAAAGATTGTTGAGGGTCATGTCTTATCCAAAGACACAAAATTGTCAAGATCCTCAAAGAATGTGGTAAGGATAAAGGCTCCAGCAGGCCAGAGACAGGTGGATAATAGATGCTGGGATATTACGTAGCCATGAACTGGACTAAAGTCCACTACACTTTCCAGGGTGAAGGGAGCTGAGAACACCGTGCTCATGAGAGACCCAGACACAAAAGGCCACACAGTGTGGAAAATGCCCTAGCCAGCCCAGCACAGAGTTGAGAAGTGGCTATGGGGGTGTCAGAGGCTGGAGAAAGGATGGGGTGACTGGTCCTGCAGACTGTGTTTTTGTTGAGTTGTGGAATGTTCTGGAAGTAGAGGTATTTGATTGTAGGTTATCTGAGATTTATATGTATGACTTCCCAAAAAAAAAAAAAAAGTGCTGGGCAGTGGTGCATGCTAGTAATCCCAGCACTCAGGAGGGAGGGGCCAGCCTGGGCTACACAGAGAAACCCTGTCTCGAAAAACAAAACAAAAACAAAGAAACAGACAAACAAAAAGAGTAGTCAGCGCTCTTAACCCCTAAGCTGTTGCTGCAGCCTGTTTGTTTTTGGTTTTGCTGGGATTAAAGATGCATGCCTCCCAATCTGGTGAAAGAAAGCCCTTTTAAGAACTCCTTACAGAGAATGGATGTGCACTGGGAGACTCGTGTGGTCATTTATTCCTGCCGAGCAAGCAGAGACTCCCCAGGGTCTTCAAGGTCCCTTTGTCTCCAGATGGCTTTCCTGGGTTCCTGCTCACCTGGGGGCGGGGGCTGCTGACTCAGATCTGATCACTCAGGAGAAAGCAGTTCAGTCCCCACAGCAGGTGCCAGTGTGGGTTGGGGGGGGGTTGTCACCTGCGGCCCCAGCACTGCTGGGGAGAGGAATGGGGCAGAGGGCCAGCCTGGGCTACATGGGTCCCTACCTCAAAATAAATAAAACCAAAAGATGCCATCTGCCAGGTGCATGCCGCCTTTCACAAGGTTCTGGAGCCTGGGGGCTAAGCTGAGTGTCAGCTTAGACCAGAGTCAGTCTCCGTGTGCCGCTGTTCCCCAAACTGAGGGAGTGCGGGGAGTGTCCATGCTGGGGTTGGGTCTTCGTTCCTGGGGTCCACCCTGCCTGGCACCTGTCCCAGGTGTGGCCCTGTGGACTTTGGAGCCCTAGGAAGTCAGTAGGGGGCCTGGGCTGCCACAACTTGGGGAACAAAGGTTTTCTCAGGGGACACACACACACACACATGCAGAACAGTCTTTTTTTTTTTTTTTTAAACGGCTGGGGACAGCCAGGGCCCCTTAGCTCTGAGGACACCGCCCTGGGCCCCTGTGGGAACGGCCCTGGACGACCAGGTGTGGCCAGAACAGAAACCTACAGATGGGATGTGACCATGGGCAGCTGGGCCCCAGGGCCAGCCAGGTCTGGAAGGGTTGGTGCTGGCTCAGGCCTGTCATCCCAGTTTCTCAGGAGACAGAAGCAAGAGGGTTGCCAAGAGTTCCAGGTTAGACCCTGTCTCAAGACACACACACACACACACACACACCAGTCAAAAAGTTCTTATAAAGGAAAAAAAAAACCACAAAGACCTCCCTTTTGGACACAGCACAGGGTGATCCAGACTGTAGACAGGTGCCATTTCTCACACTAAGGAACTGTTAGTTTACTGTGAAGGGGAGGTAAGGAAAGGCAGTGCACACTTAGTAAGTGCCTGCTGTATGCCTCTGTATGCTGAGCTGAAGTGGTTGGGAGGGGCCAGGACCACACCACAGGGAGTGAACACCCACCGCAAGGCCTGAGAAATCATGCATAGTTAATAAACATTTATTAGACACATGCTGTGTGCTCTGTCCAGTTCCAGACAAGAAAAACAGGTCAAAACCTGTCATAGTGCTGGGCTTAACTAGAAGGGGAATCTGGACACTGTCCCCTAGAGCCAGCTCTCCAGGGTGGGACACGTCCTCCCAGAGGGCAGCCAGAAGGAGGGCCAGATCTCTATAAATCCGGGGCTTTTATAGCCTGTCTTTGTTGTTGACCCTCCCCCTACAGACAGCTAGGGGATCCCTGTGGGTCCCCATTTATGGCTTTGACTTGATGTCCTGTCCCTGTAGGCATCCGACCCGGCCCTGCCACCTCTGGTCTTTTGGAATCTCTTATTAGAAGACATCCATGGGGCCCTTCCCTAGTGAGGCAGCTGCACACTGTGCTGAGCCTCAGTTTCCCCTCCCCAAAGGCAAGTGCTCAAGATAGAACTGTTTGGGGTGGTGACTGTTGATTTGAGATAGGGTCTCATGTAGCCCAGGCTAGCCTCCACCTCCTGAATAATGGAATGACAGAGGCTTGTTGCTAAGATGCCTGGTTTATGAGGTGCTGGGGATGGAACCCACCGATGGAGCCATACCCTCAGATGGCTGCTCTTCTGTCTTCTGCCTTGCTTTCCTTCTTTTCTTTTTTTTGGTTTTTCAAGAGAGGGTTTCTCTGTGTAGCACTGACTGTCCTGGAGCTCACTCTGTAGACCAGGCTGGCCTGGAACCCCCAAATATGCCTGCCTCTCACTCCCTTAAGTGCTGGGATTAAAGGCATGTGCAACCACAACCCGGATTGCTTTAAATGAAGATAGGGAAACAGAGGAAGGAGCCTCTAGTGCTGGTTTGTGGAGGGGTCCAAGCCCAAGAGGCTGGACCCTGGAGATTGTCCCATGACCAGGAAAGCATTCTGGGGTTCTAGTCACTGCTCTTAGGTTGAGGGCCTGGGGTTCCCACAGGGCCTCAAGCCCTCCTGTGGGAGGTTCCTTCCTGCCTCTGCAGTGTTGGAGGTTCTATCCAGTCCTCTGGTCACAAGTCCACCCGTCCTCAATCTGCCCATCTGTGCCATACCGCACTCATCTCTTGAGGAAATCAGGTTGCAGTCTGAGGCATTTATTAGGTGCTTGCTATGTACCAGACATGCTCACCCTTGGATCCACACTCTCTGGTGCTGTGTGCTCGTCACCAGAGAAGGCAGAACCCCCTTGGGCAGATGTGGAGGCCCCAGCCGACTCCGGGCGCTTGTGTGTGGCACCCAGAGGCCCTGCAGGGCCCCACACCCTCAGGCAGGCCTCCCTGGACTTAGGAATGTGGGCCGGCCAGTCTGGTGCTGGCTGGCCCAGGGTGGGGTGCAGACAGAGTTGGGCAGCTGGGCAGCTGACAACTGGGCCACCCAGGGCAGAGGCCTGGGCTCCTGGCTTTCTTCTAGGATGGCAGTCTCCCCCATCCATGGTTTCCATTGAACAGATGGAGAAAATGAGTTGGGGGCGGGGTGCGTGCATGTTGCGTGTCAGAAGCATCATAGTTTGGCCTCAGCTGCTTACTGAGGCTCCCACCAAGCTTTTGGAGACCAAATGATGGATTCTGCAGACCCAGGTGTAATTGGTGGTTTCTAGGCCCCCCACCGTCCAGCCAGCCGCATTCCTGGAGGTTAATTTGAAGCCTGGTATTCAGTGGAGCATTCTAATTATCTCCGCCCCACTTCCCTCTGCTTGGCCAGTGAGTCTTCGTGCCCACAGGCACCCAGGGCATAGTCCTGTGACAGCTGCCCTGCATTACCCCCACCACCAACCACAGCCTGGGTGGGCAGAAGGACGCTCAGTCACTCTACACAGGAGACAGAAGAAAGGGAGCCCCCAGGGACCCAGGAGTTGGCAAACAGTAGCTGGATTGATGGACTTGTAAGATAATGCCCAGAGCTTTTAACCCTGGGAGAGGCCAGAAAGACCCTCCCTGGAGCATTGGTTAGTGACCCCTAGATGTGGTAGAGGGGTCCTTCAATGTCTGCAGCTTGGGGTGTGTGGGCTTGGCTGATCTCCTGCTGCTGCCCCCTGTGGTTTGCCCACAGCTCTATGAACTGGATTCGGACCCCAAGAGGAAGGAGTTCCTGGACGACTTATTCACCTTCATGCAAAAGCGAGGTGAGCACTCCCAGGGCTGACGAGGAGCAAGATGTGCTCCCCCAAACTCTGTGACGTCCCCAGCTCCACCTCCACCCAAACTCTCTCTCCTGGAGGGTGGGACAGGCTGGGTCTGGGTCATTACAATCTTCATGTTTTAGGGGAGGAAACTGAGGCCCAAGGATGGTCCGGGCTTCAGGCATGCAGCAGGAAGGGGCGGAGGAGCCCTATGCCAGCCTGGGGCCATCTCTGGGGCCCAGCTTCTGTAAACACATGCTTGCAGGCCTGCCCACCGGAAGGCAGTGAAGGGGTACTGTGGCCTCCTGATCCTGTGGCCCAGCCCAGTGGCCTCTGAGTTAACCCTTCCATGTCGGGGTGTGGCCTGCAGGTCCCTGTGGGTGTGAGGAAGCCCCTGAGCTATCCACAGGGCTCAGCCTCCTTGGGTCCAGCCCTGCTGCCCTTCATGTGGCCGGAGAGATCTCCCCTCCCCGCCTTATCATGCATCCCCACCTGCCCCAGCCCTGCACACAGCAGGAGGCCTCCAGCTGCCTCTGGGCCACAGAGCTGACCACCTCATCCCCACCCACCATAATGGGTCAGCAAGGCAGGAACCTCAGTGCTTTCATGTAACCATTGCACCACAAAGGGCTGTGAAAGCCCGAAGCTAACCCTACCTCCCTCACCCAGTCAAACCAACAAACTCCTCTGTATCCCTCAGAACCCCACGTCACTGCCGCCTCTGATACTTTCTTCTGAGGTATCTGGTAATTAGAATCTGGAATCCAAACCACCATCCCTTACCCTGACAGCACAACCTACTGCCCATGAGTCTCTTCCCTGGGAGGGAAAAAGACCCCGCCCCTTCGTATCAGAAAGCAGAGTCCTTGAGACAGATTTCTCTCAGAATTCATGGGAGATGGGAAATGGGGGGAGGTGTCCTGCCTGTGACCCTACCACTGTCCCCTACCTTTCCTCATCCCGGCCTCAGCCCTCCATCGGGTCCTAGGCTATATAAACTTCCTCCACCAGCAGAGGCTGGCCTGCCTACCTCCTGGCCTCCCTGGAGGACTGAGCTGTGATTGGCTGGGGTGGGTTCAAGATCCACCTCCCCTGAGCACGCCTTGACCCACGCTGGGAGGGGCAGGAGGTGGTTACAATAGGGAAGGGTCTCCCAGTGCTGCCTTGCTGGGGCTGTGGAGTCAGGCGAGGCAGGCCCGAGAGCATCCAGTTCAGTAAAGAGGGTGGGAGGTCTCCCTCTCATGAGACAGATGCATGGTTGCCGTATATGTGGCCAGGGTTGAGGCTGACAGTTGCCAATCTTCCATGTTCTTTATTGAGCACTCACTGTACGCAGGGGCGGGCTCTGAAGCCCCTTCCTCAGCAGGCTGGCAGGGAAGGCCTCCTGGGCCTACAATTTCACAGACAAGAATTAGAGTCCAGCTGGGCGGTGGTGGCACATGCCTTTAATCCCAGCACTTGGGAGGCAGAGGCAGGCAGATTTCTGAGTTTGAGGCCAGCCTGGTCTACAGAGTGAGTTCCAGGCCAGCCAGGGCTACACAGAGAAACTCTGTCTCAACTCCCCTGCCCCCCAAAAAAGAGTTAGAGTCCAGTTAAGGCTGGCCTCTGAGCTGGGCCTGGAGCATAAAATGCAAAACCTCTTAGAGTCTAGACGGGCAGAAAGGTGTAGGGCCCTGTCTGTAGCAGGCTTGGGGAAATGGAGGTGACGTTTTGAGGCATGAAGACGCCAGGTGCAGGTGCAGAATGGATGCTCTTGTTTTTAAAACTGAAAATCCTCTTAGCAGAGCCTTTCCAGCCCCCACTGAAGCCCGCCACACTCTCGGGATGGCTAAGGAGGGAAGGGCTCTGGGGATGTCCTGTGGTTGTTTGGCAACTACTGTTGTTGGAAGCCTGCAGTGGGAATATCCGGGGCCCTGGAGTCTCCTGTATGTCCCCAGGATGGCTGCTGGCCTCTCTCCAACCCCCTCCCGGGCCCAATGAGCAGGGGCTTCTCTTGGGGGAAACTGAGGCTAGCAGGGGTGTTACCCAAGGGTGATGCTACTGTAGAAAGGTTTAGGGAGAGCACATGTGTGGCTACACATTAAGTCTTCTTGTGGATCGGGAGAGGGTGGGGTAACGCAGAGCCCGGGACATGTGACCAAGGATGCCTTCAGCAGCCCTCCCCACCCAACTCGTGTCCCTCAGGTACTCCAGTGAACAGAATCCCCATCATGGCCAAGCAGGTCCTCGACCTGTTCATGCTATACGTGCTGGTGACCGAGAAGGGTGGCCTGGTAGAGGTGATCAACAAGAAACTGTGGCGGGAGATCACGAAGGGGCTCAACCTGCCCACCTCCATCACCAGCGCTGCCTTCACACTCCGGACACAGTGAGTGCCAGGGCTGACCACCCTGTTCTGGGATAGCCTACCACCTCCTCCTGGGATAGCCTATTGCCTCCTTTCTCAAATAGCCCACCACCTACCTACTCCTGAGGTAGCCCACCACCCTCTCTTCAGATAGCCCACCACCTCCTCCTCAGATAGCACACCCACTTCTGACCTGAGATAGCCCATACCCTATGTTCTGAGATACCTCTCCACCTCTGTCCTGAAATGACGTGTTGCTTCCTTGAGCTGGGGCAGGGTGACACGCCCCTGGTCGTCTCAGTGCCATCTTGTCTCCCTGTCCACAGGTACATGAAGTATCTTTACCCCTATGAGTGTGAGAGGCGAGGCCTGAGCAGCCCCAGCGAGCTCCAGGCCGCCATAGACAGCAACCGCCGGGAGGGCAGGCGCCAGAGCTTTGGGGGTTCGCTTTTCGCCTACTCACCCAGCGGAGCCCACAACATGCTGTCCTCACCCAAGCTACCGGGGACTTCCTTGGGCCTTGCCACCAGCACCAATGGCAGCTCCATCACCCCAGCACCCAAGGTCAAGAAAGGTGAGTCATGTGAGGGGGAGGTTACCCTTTTATCTCTCTGGGTAGCCATGGTAAACCCAAGTTAGTATGGAGGAGTTCTCTGTATCCCCTTCTGTTCCAGAGGCAGACATTACTAGTTAATTCCTGCTCTTCAATCCCCCATCTACAGAAGAAAGACATCACCAATCAGGCAATCTTCAGTTCTTTGCCAAGACAGACATGCCTCATGTATGACCTATGTCTAGCTTCTGTTTGCAGAGTTCATTATAACTGAGTTCTGTGTCTCATGTCTACACTAGGGCAGACATTATTAGCTGAGCATTGTATCCCTTTCTAAACACAGCATTGCTAATCAATCATAGCACTGGTCTCTGATGTGTGACAAATATTACTAACTTGTCACTTCTGTTTCCTTCTAAGCTGTGGAGACCTTTGACACATACCAGACCCTCCAGACATGTCATGACACTTTGACCCTTGAACCCCCCTGAGTCTAATGCTAGGTGCCCCAAGCAACTCATTAGTCTTTTCTGAGCTTGGCTTATGTATCAGGTGGGAAGCCGCCTGAGTTCTATGAAGTCCTTGGAAGTCCTCTGCCAGCACAAAGCCCAGGTCCACACGTTCTCAGTGAGGAAGTCCCCACGAGTGTAGACAGTCTCGTCTGCAGAGGCTCTGAACTCTTCCCGACACATACATAGTGCTGAGGTGGTAGCTCGGTGGCTAGAGGACTTGTCTAGTGCGCCCTGGGTGCCATGACAACACCATAGAAGTGAGGTATGGCGGTGCACATCGGTATCTGTCATCCCAGACGTGGGAGGTGTATCAGTAGTTCAAAGTCATCCTTAGCTTACAAAAGTGAGTCTGAGGCCAGCCTGGGCTACATACAACAAACAAACAAACCCTAAAAAAAAAAAAACCTGCTGGGGAGTGTCTGCTTCTATTCACCTTGGTGGCAGCAAAGCCAGCTCTTCCCCAGGCCCCTACTGACCATCTGCTCCTATGTCTGTCTAGAGGAAGACTCGGCCATCCCCATCACAGTCCCAGGCCGCCTACCTGTGTCTTTGGCAGGCCACCCTGTTGTAGCTGCCCAGGCTGCAGCCGCCCAGGCTGCAGTTGCAGCTCAGGCAGCTGCCCTGGAGCAACTCCGGGAGAAGCTGGAATCCACAGAACCTCCAGAAAAGAAGATGGCTCTGGTTGTTGACGAGCAGCAGCGGCTCATGCAGCGAGCTGTGCAGCAGAGCCTCCTGGCCATGACGGCCCAGCTGCCCATGACCGTCCGGATCAACAGCCAAGGTACCACCAGCTCCGAACCCCCGTTCCCATGTGCCAGGCGGAACAGATGCCGGCAATCAGTCAGAAAGGGGAGGAAGCACGGCAGAAACTGAGGCATCCAGGGTTAGCACAGTCCTCTGAGGAACACCCTCTGCCCAGTTGACAATCTGCAAGCTCTAAAGAAATGCTAACATTGATCAGAATCTGTGTCCCGTGGAGCCCGTCGTGGTGGGGGTCGCACATGGTGGTCTGTACCTGTTGTCCCAGCTTAGGTTGAAGCAAGGAAAGGTGAGTCCAGGGCCAGCTTGAGATACATAGTGATGCCTGAACATAAAAATAAGTAACAAATAAAGAACCCCACCGAAAACTTTGAAAAAAGGCCTATAGAGTAGGTAGAGAGGAAGCAAGCCACTCCCCGGGTACACCTCTGACCTACATGGTGAATCTCTTGCCCCTATAGCCTCAGAGAGCCGCCAGGACTCTGCCGTGAGCCTCACCAGTGCCAATGGCAGCAACAGTATTAGCATGTCAGTGGAGATGAATGGTATTGTATACACAGGTAAGGCCTGGGGGGTCCCTCCCACCACTGCCCCAGGAGGGGGAGTCCTCCTACCACTGCCAAGGAGGGAGAGTCCTCCCACCACTGACCAGGAGGGGGAAGTCCTCCCACCACTGCCCCAGGAGGGGAGTCCTCCCACCACTGCCCCAGGAGGGGAGTCCTCCCACCACTGCCCCAGGAGGGGGAGTCCTCCCACCACTGCCCCAGGAGGGGAGTCCTCCCACCACTGCCCCAGGAGGGGAGTCCTCCCACCACTGCCCCAGGAGGGGAGTCCTCCCACCACTGCCCCAGGAGGGGGAGTCCCGACTCTCAGTTTTATCTCGGAGCTTCAGGAGGGGCCATGCAGAGGTCAGAGGGCCACTATGGGAGGCTGTTTTCTTCTTTCAACCTGGTCCTAGTGCTCCAACGCAGGGCATCCAGCTTGGCAGCAAGCACCTTCACCCACTGAGCTGTCTTGCCAGTTTGCTAATTTGCCTCCGTTGGCAGACAGGGTCTTGCCAATGTACTCTGGCTGGTCTTGAACGCCCTCTGTTTCACACCAGTGATCACACCAGTGATCCTCCTGCCTCAGCCTCCTGAGTTGCTGGGATCATAGGCCTGTGCCCCTGAGAAGCCCAGCCCTGTGACACGTTCCTCCCTTTGTCTTTGTCTCAGGGGTGCTGTTTGCTCAGCCACCACCTCCTACACCACCTTCCGCCCCCAGCAAAGGTGGCACTGGCAGCATCGGTACCAACAACACCATGGGTAGCCGGACAGGAGCCAGTGGCAGCACTGGCAGCGGTGGCCAGGTGGGGCTGGCCGGGGTGTCAGCACCCACCATGTCTTCTACCTCAAATAACTCCTTGCCTTAAAGGAAACCAAGTTGCATGGCTGCCCGCCCACCACAGGGACCACACGGCCACACGGGGACCTGGGATGTCAGAAGAATCCCAGTGGGCTGGGCAGATTCCCAAGGAGCCACACTGACGCCAAAAAGGAGAGAGAGAAAAAAAAATATCTATATATCTATATCTATATATACATATAGAGAAAGATAGCTAGACGGAGAAACAGATTTAATAAATCAGGGCAAAGCAAAGAACACTTGAATCTCTCAGGTTTCGGAGACTCCGAGAAATGGATTTGACGAGGGCCAGCAAGGCAACCTCAAAGCCGAAGGAAGCCGCCTGTCCTCTGCCTTGGGGGCTTGGCTGGACCAGCACGGGTCACTCACGTCTATTTACCTCATGAATCCCGGCACTGCGTGATCACATTTTTTTGTTTTGTTTTATTTTTGTTTTTGTTTCTTTTTTTGTTCTTTAACCATAGTTCCATTTGGGAAAACCAGCCTTGGAAACTATGAAGCTTTTTCTTTTCTTTTTTTTTTTCTTTTCTTTTTAAAACAAGATCACATTCAGACACATTTTTTTTTTTAAAGGTTTGGGGGTTTCTGATTTTGTAAATATTCTATTTTATTCTTGAGGGCAGGGATTGGATCTTAGGAAGAGTCTATCTATATATCTATATATTTGTGTTCATTCAGGGAAACAGACTTTAAAAAAAAAAAGCAAAATACCAGCTATGGTTGGTCCCCACCATTGTCACCCCAGAGCCCCTGCGTGTCCTGCGGTGCCCCTGGCTCAGCTCGGAGATGCTGGCTCTCAGTAGTTTCCACAGTTCCATCAGGCTGGCCCTGCCTACTGGCTCCATCATTCAGGAACCTGGATTGCTTACACAGGACACAGAATGTTCTAGAAACGGGTAAGAGAGCCGTGGAATGTAGTGGCCTCCTGTGTCTCAGGGATGAGGGTGCTGGATTCTCTGCCTGGATGGGTTGCTTTCAAGAGACAGATGCACCAGGCTAGCTCAGGGCAAGGATTCAGACTTGAGTCACAGCCTCCTGTGTTCCATCTCTCTCTGCCTGTCTTGTCAATCCCCTTGCTGGGACAGCACCTGAATGTGACAGTAGTCAACCCAGAAGGACCCCGCTGTCTATCCGATAGTTCAGCCAAACTGGGCATAGTGGCACACACCTGCCATCCCAGCTCTTAGGAGGATGAGGCAGGGGGATCAAGAGAGTTCAAGGCCATCCTTGGCTACACATTGGAGGTTGAGTCCAGCCTGAGCTACTTGAAACCCTATCTCAAAGAAGCAAACTAAGTTGAGGCTGGGGCCGTGGTACATACCTTTAATCCCAGCACTCTGTGAGGAGGCTGGCCCAGACTTAACAGTTAATTCCAAGCTGCCCAGGGCTACACAGTGAGATCCTGTCAAAAAAAAGCTTTGATTTCATTTTGGCTGGAGCCATCAGACATGGTCTGCTGAATTGGGGAACCAGTCCTGAACTTGGCCTGGTCACTATTCCCTAGTGGGCAGTGCTGGGTTCTCCTGGGTAAGGATTGGAGCATATGCAGAAAGCTGGAAGCCGGAGCCTGCCTGTTGGCAGCACCAGGAATTACGAACCCTCGAGTCTACACTGTGGGGATCAGACCTTCTTTTGACCTGTCTCAGGTTATCAACACACCCCTTCCATTGTTCCAGGAGGGGGTGCTGCCCATTTGGAGGGGAAGGGATCTCAACTTTTCCTTCTGGAAGCTTCTGCCTGCCCCGTTTTGGGGCCACTGTCTTAGCCGCACAATCATTCCTGGTCACGGGTGTTGAGGGGTCCTTGTTCCCTTCTGACAACCTTGTCCAAAGTCTGCCTCCATGGGTAACTGGCTCAGGGATATAGCAGCCAGCCTCCTGTATCTCTAGTGGGGTCTGTCTGAGGGGGCCGCCTTGGTGGCACATCCAGGGCAAGTTTCTACCTCAGGTCTTTTGATGCCAAAAAAAAAAATGCACCCGAGTCACCCACTTGTCTGGTCACCTTCTGAATGCCCACCGTGGGAACTTGGTGTCTACTTTTATCTTGGGCTCTGCAAGTGGCCAGGAAGTGCCAGATCCTAACTCAGGGGACCTTGCCCACCATGGCTCTGTGATTGTAGTGGGGGATACCCTCTGCTGGACTTACTCAGCAGACCTCCATGGTCCTATCTGTGCCTCAGTTGCCCCAATTAGCCCTTAGCATGGGGTTCAATTGGCACTCATACAAACTGGAGTGGGGAAAGAGCTGGGGAACTGGGGTCATCACTGTCCGCCTGGTACCTCAGGGCGTGGTGTGGGCCAATTGAGAGACCCGAACTCAGGGCAAAGGGTAGAAGGGCAGGCACAGGCTACTTCTAGAGCCTTCCTGGTAGCCTTTATGCTGGCCACCAGGCGGTGTATGTCTGTCTGGGTGCAGTGGGGGGGGGGGGAAGGGGCTTGGGGACAGCTGGGTTAATGTTTTCTGAGGATTATACAGCTGTACAGTCTGGTTTTTTCTTTCATTTTAATCATTTTTACACTTTGATGGTTTTTCCCTACCCCCACATAATTTTAGCTTTTGTGGATTTTACTTTTCCTTCTGGGTAAATGTGAGCTGAGCTGTTTTTTAGGAACATGTGAACTTTTCAGTTTCTTGGGGGTGGGAGGGGCTTGTCCGACAGCGTGGGGATCGCACACAAACTCAGGTAAAATGAAAAAAATAAGTGGATTTTAGAAAAAAATTTTAATTAAAAGAGAAAAAAAAAGAAAAAAAAACTGTTTTCTACCTCTGGTCAGGCCTCTGTGGTCAGTTCCTGGTCAGGCTGCAGCCTGCGGCCTGAAGTGCGGCCTCCTCGGTCAGTTCCTGCCCAGGCCGTGGCCTGAGGCCTACAATGGTCACAGCTGTGCAGAATATTCAGGAAAATTCAGCTATTAACAGGAAAACTCAAACAACAATGGGGGAAAAGGTGTGATTTTTGAAATTTAAAAAGAAAAAAAAAACACTGAAAGTTTACATTTTATGACCTTATTGTGGATTGTATTTAAACCTCAGAAATATTTAATGGGATTGTAACCCTGTACATCAGTGAGATTAAAGAGTTGAGACACTTCTGTGAAAGAGTGGCTTTTTGGGTTTTGTTTTTTTTTGGTGTGTGGAGGGGACCCCACAGGACACTGGCAGTGGATGTCTGGGGAGACTTGGGAAGTTTGCCCCTGTGGAGGAGGCTCCGCCTCTGACTTTCTTTTCACTTCATGTCTGTGTGTGGTGTGTGTGGATGCTGTGAGCAGGGTTGCCCCGTGGATGTCACGGGACAAGTTTTGAAGGTTTGTTCTCCCCTTCACCCTGTGGGCTCAGGGACTGAACTCAGATCATGAAGAGGGTGATGGCCCTGTCTAGTTACTGTTTCCTTTCTTGCTTAAAAGAAAAGTGAAAACCAAACAGACAACCCAACCTTACTATCTGAGAATTTTGTACAGTCTAGTTGACCGTATTCTTTTGGGACAGGGACTCACTACAAAGTCCTGGCTGGGCCGAAACTCAAAGCACAGAGCTGGGCATGCCCCTGCCTCCCAGGAACTGGACTAATGGCATGAGCCACAAGCAGGCCTGTCTCAGGACCTTTGCACAGGCTGTTTCCCTACATGCCTTCCCCATCTACCTCCCATCTGTAAACCATTCCTTTCTGTCCCTACCCTCAGCTCACCCTGGGACGACATCATTCCATCTTTGTCCCCTGGGCTAATTACATGTGACACACCTCTTCCTCCCTCCCTGCAGCCAGGTGAAGTCCTCTAAAGCCAACTAACTCGGGGCTCACCACCAATCACCCAGGGACCAAAGCTCCTGGAGACCAGGGCACTGGCCTCCTGCCCCCAGGCTTGGGGGTCCCCCTGCCTCAGCCTCTAGAGAACTGGAATCAAAGGTGTGTTCTACCACACCCAGCTTGGCCACTTGCAGCTGTGGTGTGCTTCTGTGGACACCAGGGGAGGATCCTGGGCACATCTGACCTGCAGTGACAGCTCAAGGCTTTGGGTGGAGAGAGGATCCCTGAATGTCAGCCTCATGCAGGGGACTTGGAAGACTGCGTGACTCAAGGCAGATGAGACCAGGTGGACAGGCTCAGACCTTGGCCACCTGACCCTCATCCTGCCTGCTCTCACCAAGGCTGGCCCAGGCTAGCCCCTCCCCAGGTTCCTGACAGAATTGAGGAAAACAGCTGCTGGCTCCTACTAGCCTCTGAAACCAGCATCTTACACCCTGTTCCAAGGAAGGCTGTCATCCACTTGACACCTGACTGGGGGGTAGAGACAGCCATTCATTTGTTTGTTTGTTTGTTTGTTTGTTTATATTTTAAAAAGGCATCTTTCAGGAAAACTAGCTTGGCTGGTCCTGCTGCTTTCTCTCCCGGTCCAAAGAGCAGCAGAGAGGGAACTGAGTGGCCCCGAGGCTGCACAGCTCTGAAATGCCTCAGAGCCCCTGCAGCACATCCCACCCAGTGATCCGCAAAACTACTCTGACCGGCAGAACAGAATTCCAGGGAAGACAGTTGGACCTCCCTCCTCCTGGGGCGGGGGAGCCACTATCATCCTTTTTCCCTGAGGAGTCCCCAGATGGTGGGTTATCCATGGATTCCACAGGGGAGAAAGTGGACACAGGAGTTGCGTAGGCACTGACAGAATGGAGACACTGGGCTACCGTGTGGGGAATGAGTATGTCTGTGCCTCAGTTTCCCTGATGTGGCTCCCCCAATCATTTCTTGTTTCCTCCATTTTCTCAGAGGTCTGGCAACTGGGTGGTCTCGAACGCTCAAGTGTGGCTTTTGTTCTTATAGTCGACACAACTGGACTGTCCTCATTCCAGGGGCTGGGCCGGGGACAGGCTGACCTCTAACCTCAGAGTCAGCCTGGCCACCCACCCCCAGGGAAGGAACATGGCCAGGCCACAAGGGCTGGCCGGCTACAAGGGAGCCTGCCCCAGCTGCTAGCCAGCGGGCTCTGTCCCTGCCCAGCTCCCTAGAATGGAGTCTGGGAGAGCTTCCAGGTCAGAAAAGGGTGTACCTGGGGCCTGAAGCACAGAAACCCATCAGTCACAGGGTTGACCGGGAGTCGGGGGGCTGGGAGTGGGGGTGGACTCCTACAAGGGCCTCACCCACCTTTCAGACCTGACAAGTGGATCCTAGCACCCAAGTTCAAGACCCCAGGTTGGCCTTTGGCACACATATCCCCCCCACACACACACACACTGAGGACCCAACCTGAGCTTTTTTTTGTTTTGTTTTGTTTTTGTTTTTGTTTTTTTGAGACAGGGTTTGTCTGTGTAGCCCTGGCTGTCCTGGAACTCACTCTGTAGACCAGGCTGGCCTCAAACTCAGAAATCCACCTGTCTCTGCCTCCAAAGTGCTGGGATAAAAGGTGTGAGTCACCACCGCTCGGCCGAACCTGAGCTTTCAAGATTATCCTTGTCTTCTTTTTCTTATTTCCTATTTATTTAAATTCTGACATGAGGTCTCAGGTACCCAAGCTAGCTTCAAATGTACCAAGTAGCCCAGAAGAGCCTCAGACTCCTGATCCCAAGTGTTTGTAATGGCCCTATGCACCCGTGCCTGTTTTCTGCAATGCTGAGGACAAACCCCACCCAGGGCTTCATGCTGCAAAGCCAACCCTCTCCCAACTGTCCTACCCAACTTCTCTTTGTGAGTCAAGGTCTTCTGTTTCTTGATTTGTTATTTTTTTAATTAAGTATGTATGTATCTGTTTGTGTGAGGGGTACATTCACTGCATGCAGGTCCCTCTGAGTGCTAAAGGTGGTGTTGAATCCCTGGAGCTGGAGTTACAGGTGATTGTGAACCACCCTGGAGTGGGTGCTTGGAACCGAACCCAGGTATCCTGCAAGCATAGCAAGTGCTCTTACCGAGCCAGCTCACAACCTCCCCTTTCTCTCTCTCTCTCTCTCTCTCTCTCTCTCTCTCTCTC